TGTGCTCCCATGTGCTTTTGTGCCATTTGAAACGGTGATGTAAATACTTTGGGAAACTTCATCTTGTATTTGTAGCCTCTGAATGGATGCTTTAATTTCTGAGGTATTTGGCCTTTTAATCAGAACTCTTTGTCAAGGCAATCACTCATTTTCTAGGTAAAGTGTGATGGAATCTCATTTAGCATGATTTACAAATCACTTGTATCTTCCTGAACACAGCAGCAGTTGCAGTAGAAAACCTTCAGTATAACCCTCAGGAAATTAAACAGTGCCATATTTGATTCTCTTTCAGTTGAAGGAGTGTTGACATAAAAAAATTCCCCAAGAACATGAGTAGCAACAGCTGGTTCAACTAAAATGAAAATGAAACACCTTTGGGAAAGTTTTAAGATCTGCAGAGAGATAATGGGGAATAAATGAGGGAAATCAGATCTAGAGATATTTTCTTACTCTGACAGCAGGAAGTAACTTGGAGTCAAAGCAGACAACCTGCTGTTTAGAAAGAAAACTCCTTTGGAAAAAACCAGGAATGTGGGGCTCTGAATTGACACAATTTGAAGCAGTTGAATAGAAGCCTTTTTATTTCCCTGATATATAAGTGGTCCTCTTTCCACCTGATTGTGATTTATTTTAGTCAAGTCATCTCTGCTTTGGCATTCTTCACGTTCCTATCTCCTGCTGAATGCATATTTGTTATACCACCAGTAGAACAAAATGGTCTTCCTAGAAGCAAACAATAAAACTTAGAAAAGCAAGCAGATTCTCCAATCTGAAAAGAGAATTGAACTCAACATCTACCAAGATCTTCTTGCAACTCATTCCAATTATTTTTATCTTCCAAGTAAATATTAATGAAAGTTTCTGACTGATTTAAAAGCCTCAGCTTATTCAGTGTGGCTTTGATATGTTCTTGAGACTACCTATGGCTTATGGGAGAATTTATCTGAGCACTAAATGTGAGAAAGCCCACAACTGATTTAGGTAAACCTAAACTTTGGTACTCGTGATCCTTAACGTAGGAGGATGTGAAAAAGAAAACTCTTGTCTGTATGCAAAGAGAATGGAAACTTTGCAGACTGTGAATGTACTGACCTTCAGAAAGGGAGCAGCAAGATTTTTTTTCCCTTGAACATTTAGAGTTATCACAATGAGTCATGAATGCCCTTAATATCTAGATATTATATTTGTCCCTTGTATCATTTGTATTTTTTTTTTCCTTTATGCTGAAATGCAATTGAAAAAGTTTCATAGAAATAAAGTAATCATTATTGCTGGTGTAGATGTAAGTGCCTTTGTCACTGAAACTGTGAGAAAACCAGAAACTCGACAACAATATCTTTTCAGTATTAGAGAATCAAGGCATTACTTTATTCTGGCCAGGATGTGCAACAGAAATTATTTCATCTGACACATGCCCAGGTTGGGAAAATAATTCACATGGTTCTTTACCACACTTTTCACATATTTATATATAAAAACCCCAAAGAAATTCCTGTTCATTGGTCTTAAATTGCACAACTCTTAGTATTCAATCTCCTATTGGTTATTGATCCCTTTGCCTTTGATGCTAATCTGTTCCTCATTCTTTGGTTCTCTTATTGATCTGTTCCCAGACCAGGTATCCCTGGCTACACCAATGGGTAATGTTCCTTAATGTTCTGTTATCTCCTGTGCATCTTCTGGCTACTCCAAATCTGTGGATGTTAAGATCATCAGGCATCTTCCGGTGAAGAGAGGTTTTGAAGAGAAATTTCAATTCCTCTACCCCTGGGCAAAGGTAAACAAACCTGTGACTAAATTAAAAAAATAAAAATAAAAAAAATGATTAAAAGTTGCTGTTTTCAGTCAAAACGAAGTGAGCAGTTGCACCGACAGAGATTGTCATAACATAGTTTATCTGATCTCATGTTTACAGGATGTCAGAACTATTCTGCTCTTGGGACTTGGCTTCATTTGTAAATTGAATAGATAATGCTACTTTATCTACAGCTGGTATTTTTTGCCTCAAGTTTGCTTTTCCAAAGTTTTCCTTAATATTTTATTTTTCTTATTTCTCTCATCATTATCTTCCCCTTATGTCCTGAAGGAGCTGAGGAATTATTTCTAAAGGTTTTTGTGGAACCCTAATCACCATGTTAGGTCAGTTTATATGACGAAGCCTACTCCTTACTGCTGGAATGGGGGTTGACGCTTGCAGTGAAGCCAACACTACCGAGCTCAGAATAAGCAGGTCATGTTCCATGGAGGCATTTGATACCTTTGGAAAGCTGAAAAATGTGGGCGGCACTACCCAGTGGTAACAGGTTTTATTTTTTAATACAGGCTTTACAGGGGGGTTTAGATTTGTGGGAGAGTGGATACAGGAGTCAGCAGCAATGGAAAGGCAAAAAACAATGTGTGTTTTCTCCGTCTCTCCTCTTCATAGATGCTTAGAGGTGTTTTACAGAGGCACCATTAAAGATTCTTTAATATTGTGGAAGATGGCAAACTGGAGAATGCATTGGATTCAATGCACTGGATTGGAAGGATGACAGCATGGGGAGACTGACATCAAGCAGGGCTTTCAGAGAAGGCTTCTGGACTCGCAGTAGCATCAGGTAGTTCAAGGGCTGGCTGTGCTACTTGGTGTGATAATGCACTCATGCTGCCAGGTCACTGCCTTCCACCTCCAGAAATTTGCTCTCTCACATTTGCCATTTCAGTCAATACTACCATGAGGTTTATTTTCATAAACCCTGGTAAGATGGCAGCAGCACTTTGACCTCTGTGGTTTCCTTTGGTTGAGGACAGCTTCATCTGAATGCTGTCCTCTTCCCCCCTCTGCAGAGTCTGCAAAGCAGAGGGCCTTGTTTCACCCACCCACTCACTGGATTTTAGGTGAAGACTGATCTTGGAAGATGGCTGTAGTTGGTGAAAGGACTGGAATAAGGAATAGTCCTAGTGATATGCCACAGCCTGAGAACCAAAGCCAAAGCATGCATTTAGCTTGGGTAGGGCTTAAGGCCCACTGCTGCCCTCTTACTCTGCCTCTGGAGAGTTACCCTAGCCCCAGGCTGAAGCCAGACATAGAACGCTAATGATAATGCACTGTTCCTCAGGAATTTCAGCCCTGAGAATAACACTTTTGTTACATTCTTACTTAATATCCTTTGGGTAAAGGACAATCCATCATTGCAGCTAAGTGGAGAAAGTTCCCTCTTACCTCTTTCTCTGAAAAGTGAAGAAATTACTGGGAATTGGGGGCTGCTACTATACTGAATGAGGCCAAGCAAGCAGAAAGTGCCTGACAGCTACACCTTTTTCTCCTATCACAATCATTTTAGCCTGCATTTTATTTTCTCCCCCTCCCTTCCTCCATTGCGACATGAGGCCGCCAAGCACAAAGGGAGAACCTGAAACTGCTTGCTTTGAGGCCTGGGAGGGGAGGAAATAGCAATTTATATAGCCAGATTAGCAGGAGGCCAAGGGTACAGAGGGCAAGTGCAGATAGTAGCTGGGTGTGGAGTAGCACAAGGGAGGAAGGGAGGGAGAGAGGGAGGGAGGAGAGTTAAGGAGGAGCACTGGGTTAACTAGTTTTGGGAGAATGTACAGTAAAACGTCAAGAACCTGTTATAATAGATATATTAACTTCATATATATAACTTCAGATCTATAACTTCATCTGGGGAGTCCTGCTTGAAGTCTCGAAACTGGAGATAACTAGTCAAGGTAAATCTTTAAGCACTTGCAATTAAAGCCACACATAAATACAGAGCTCAGTTCCTTGCGTGACACTGAACAGTTCCCTATGTCAAACAAAACCAGGGCACTCAGCACTGTTCACAATAAGGTATTTGGAGAGCTGGATCCATTTTTTAACCTTCTCTCCCCCGTGTCAGCAGCTTCCTTAAAATAATGTATTTTATACATCTGACATCCATTTTAAACTTTATGGCATCTGACAACCATTTTAAACTTTAAAAGGAAGTTTTTAACTTTCTTTTCTGCAACTGCTGCAATGCAAATGTTTCTCTATCATATGATGTTAAGTAATGTTACAGTAGAAGCTGTGCTGTACTAGATGCTGCTGCAGCAGTGCAAATTTAATAGCATTGTTATATATAACAAATGTCATCACATATGGCAGGAAATTTTAAAGTTTTAGAAAAGATATGAATGAGTCTCTTGCAAGAAACTCATCTTACTGGAACTCTGACACAGAAAATTACCCACTAGTGTCATAATGCTGTTACACTTCCTTATTTTTACTCTTCAGTTCTCAGTTATGTAAACACCCTTCTACCAATTTGTCATCACAAAACGGGGCTTTTTAAAATCTCTTATCTGCTATTTGTTCATAGGAAATGCCAGACCGTGACTCTGCTGGGACATTTTGAGCTTTTGGCCAGCATTCTGGTAGGTGCTGTGGAAGATTTTCAGATTTCGACACGCAGAGATACCGTCTTAAACCCTTCCAGTGGAAATTCATGGTCTTATTTTTTCTTCCTCTTGGTCTTCCCCAGTGCTTTCGAGCGACCCAAGTCCTTCACCGGTCATGTTGTCCCCCCTCCTGCAGGGAGCAGAGCCGCCTAAATTAGGAAATGCGGGCGAGCAACTGTGTTTTACGCTGTGTCAGGGAGCAAGGGTGACACGGCGGGGTTTGCGGCGAGCGCGGCGCCGGCACCGACGGGTCCGCCTGCCCAGCGCGGGATCCACGGGCCGGGGCCGCCCCTCCGGCCGCTCCCCTTCCCGGCTGCTCAGCAGCCCCGAGCCCGCGGGCTGGAAATCCCCGCCCGGGAGGCACCCTCGGGTTTCCCCCACCCGAGGAAGAGGACAGAGGAAAGTACCCAATGTCCCGCTGACGGCAGGGCCGCCCTCCCCCGCAGGGCAGCGCTCGGAGAGGCGGAGCGCCCGCCCGGCGGAGCCGAGGCCCGGCCCGCGGAGCCCCTCAGGCCGCGCGAGGGCGCTCGCGGGCCCGGAACAGGGCGGCGCTGAGCCCGCCCCGTCAGGCGCCGCCTGCGCCTGGCCCGGCCCGGGAGCAACCGGGCGAGCCGGGCCGGAGTTTCCGCGGCGGGGCGGTGCCGGTGGGGTTTTCTTCCCCCGCACCCTGCCAGGCGCCGCATATAGGCTGGGCCTTGCTGGGGGCCGCTGGGGGGCCCCCTCGGAGGCGGTGAGTAGGGAGGGTGCTGCGGCTAGAAGCGGCTGGGAGGGGGCGGGGGGCGCCTGTGCTCTGGCCCGGCCTGGCGGCGGGGGCTGACGAAGCTTTGCGGCCCCGGCTGTGGCCCCCGGCGCTGGAGGAGAGCACGGCTGCCCCGCTGGAGCCCGCTCGGGAGCGGGGCTGGGGCCCGGGCCCGCGGGAGGAGAGGGAGCGGAGAGCGAGGCCCGCGGGGGGACCGGAACGTGGGGCTGGGGCTGCCGGGGCTGGGGCCCCGCTCAGGCCCGTGCGGGGTCTGGTGTTCAGGATCTGGGGCCTCAGCTCAGGGGGATGTTTCTGCAGTGCTGTGTCACTATGACTGAGTTGTTCCTGGAAAAAACTTTCTGCAAAACGATTTTCCAGACCAGACAACTAAATATATAATTTTATATTTATTCATAGCTACATATATAAAAACCCTTTGAACTTTGTGTTTGTCATTACCTGAATTTTTGGGGAAGTTCAGTTTTGCCGATGTCCTTGCTTCAAATACAAGCGATCTCTTATTCCTGAACAAGAAAATACTGTACTCAATAAGTCATTGTTATAAAACTGTCTCCATTGTCTGGGAATCTGCAAACTTGAACCAATTTAAATGGATGCAGCTTCTTTAGTACAGAATCAGTACCTTCTGTTATACAGCTTGTGATTAAATAATCCATCTGCCAGAAAATTCTGCTTGTGGGTTAAACAGTTTTGCATATGCGTCAATAACAGGGAAATGAAATGTGTGAAATCCACTCCGTATCACAGTGTGTGTGAAGTTGACTCCCTGAAACTTTCTAGCTGACATTAGACAGGCAGAGGAACAGACATTAGACTTGGGGCTGTGCAGCCTGGAGAAGAGAAGGTTGCATGGAGACCTCATAGCAACCTGCCACTACCTGAAGGGGGTCTGCCGGGGAGCTAGAGAGGAACTTTGTCAGGAACTGTAGTGACAGGACAAGCAATAATGGGTACAAACTGAAAGAGAGGAAATTGCTGTTAGACATTAGGAAGGAATTCTTTACGGTGAGGGTAGTGAGACACTAGAACAGCTTGCCCAGAGAGGTTGTGGGCACCCCAATTCTGGCAATGTTCATGGCCAGGTTGGATGTGGTTCTGAGCAGCCTGGTTTACTGGAAGGTGTCCTTACCCTTGGCAAGGGGGGTGGGACTAGATGATTTAATTCTCTTCCAACCCTTAACATTCTATTAATGCAAAAAGCTTATGCTGTTTCAGTTTATGTAATTGCTGTTTGCATAGACATTTCATGCACCTCATCTTGTGTATTTTAAAACACTCTTTTTCTTCCTTATAGGTTTTGTTCTGCCACAAAAAATTGAATGATTGAAACTACAAATACTTAAAATTTCTTCTTGAGGACAGTCAGTACCAATATGGAGGCGTAGACACCTTACAAGGGACTTCAGTCTTACCTCTGGGAGGTAGTTCTGTGCAGAAATAAAGAAACTAAGACATCAAATACTTTTTTTTTTAAAACTGAGAGTTCTGTTTGATTCTGTATGCCATAAACATGGCATACAGAAAAAACTTTATTCAACAGCATAAAGCATCAGAATGTCTCAACACAAGGCGATTAATTTATGTTAAATTTGATAGCTCTGTACTTGTAACTAAGGCACCAGGTTAAAACTGAAGTGCTCTGTTAGTTTGGTGCTAACTTGTAGACAAGCCTGGGGCTATCCCAGGTTTCTTAATAAAGAGAGTTCATCCTTGTCTGAGACAGTGTATAGGATTTGTTTCTCTAATAGCTGAATATTCTATACATGTGAAGTTGAATATAAACAAACTTATTCAGTCCTAGCAACTTGATACAACAATATGCAGAACTTGAGAGGTTTTTTTTTGGAGTCCAGTGGCAGCAAGTATACAAGATAAGTTCAGTAACGTCAGTTCAGGGTCTCTATTTTTTGTGTGCCCTTTGAACTTGATAAACCCTTCTTTTCAGCCTCCTAGTGAGTTTTACAAACTAAAATCTTTGTGTATAAGCTACATATTTATCAGCTGTCTAGGGTGTAATCGTGGCTTAAATCGCTTAACATATGTTCTGCATAAGAGCAGTGTTTTAGTTGCTGCCCAGTTTAGTTTCTTTATTGACAAAGGATTTTGATAAACCCATTTGAGGTTTTTCCTCTTTTGGTCCCACCTCCCTGAGCCTGACAAATTGGTACTGCTCTCCCCGATATACAGAACAAGTAAAGCATGTGATGCTTATATGAATTGATGGAAACTGCTTTTCAACATGCTTTCTTCAATTGTTAAAATGGGATGGAGAAGCTTTTGTGGTGAAAGCAGTTGCTAAACCAAGGTACGAGAACTTCCCAAATTTTAAAGGCTGTTAAATCATGAGGTCAGTTCTATTTGTATGCACATTTGAAGTTACACTTTAAAGTATTTATTGCTTTTGTACAGGCGCGGGTTGTTCCAAATTGCCTTTAATGCACACAACTACCTCCCCGAGGAAGACTTGTCCCATTTTTCCCAAAACTGTTCATTATGAACATAGTGGAAGATAGTCCTTTCTTGGCCAGCATCATGAGGCAGAGTGCTCTGTGTGATGAACTGAAGTATGACCTGTCCTGTGAACTCTACAGAATGTCAACGTTCTCTACTTTCCCCATGAACACGCCGGTGTCAGAGCGGAGCCTTGCCCGGGCTGGGTTTTATTACACGGGTGTGCAAGATAAAGTTAAATGCTTCAGTTGTGGCTTAACGTTGGATAACTGGCAGCCAGGGGATAATGCTATGGAAAAACATAAGCAGATGTATCCTAGCTGCAGTTTTGTTCAAAGAATGCTTTCAGTTAGTAACCTTGGATTGTTGTCTCGTTCTGCCTTTTCACCCTCACTTGCAAGCAGTCTCTCACCATCTCTACCTTCCGTAGCACTTTCTCCAACTTCAGAACAGGTTGGATATTTCAGTGGCTCGTTTTCGAGTTTTCCTCAAGACCCAGTAACTACCAGGGCAGTTGAAGACCTTCCATTCTTGAGCCCCAAGCTTCACAATCCTTCTATGAGGACAGAAGATGCTAGGCTACGCACCTTTCACTCATGGCCACTGACGTTTCTCTCACCCACTGATCTGGCAAAGGCTGGACTTTATTATTTGGGGACAGCAGACAAAGTTGCTTGTTTTACCTGTGGTGGTCAGCTGTGTAATTGGGAACCAAAAGATAATGCTATGTCAGAGCATCGGAGACACTACCCCAACTGCCCTTTTGTGGAAAACCTTATCCGAGACCAGCAGAGTTTCAATGTTTCAAATGTGACCATGCAAACCCATGAAGCCCGTGTTAAAACATTCGTAAACTGGCCAACCAGAATTCCTGTTCAGCCTGAACAGCTTGCAGATGCTGGCTTTTACTATGTAGGTAAGAAACCCAGACTTCTCCGGTGTTATTCATATTGCTATGTCAACATTTACTTCAAGTAAGTTGTGTCAATGTTTGCTAGATAATTTGCCTTTTTTTTTTTTTTTTTTAAGGTCGCAATGATGATGTGAAGTGTTTTTGCTGTGATGGTGGGTTAAGGTGCTGGGAGTCTGGAGATGATCCATGGATTGAGCATGCAAAGTGGTTTCCAAGGTAACTTGCAAAATCTTTATCATAATTTGTTCATATTCCTAAATGTTCTAATTTTAGCAGATAATGTACTGCACTTAATAGTTTTGTTCAACTTTATTTGATGTAATTCGCTCTTTCATTTGGATGTATTGCACGTATGTCTAAAAGCTCTCAAGCGTGTAGGTAGGTGTAATTAAAACATTTCTTCATTAATCATGGCATATAATGCTTTCCCCCTCATTAAAAGCTGTGTGCATCCCCGGATCACTAACAGCAAATGAGACTGCATTGTTAATGAGCATACTTTTCTCTGTAAGAGAAGCAGTCAGTAAACTTATTGTGGGGAGAAAAGGCTGCTGAGAAATGAAGTAGTAGGAATATTTAACTCATTGGTTCTGGTTTTGTGCCCATGCTGAATGCTCTTGAACTAGTTATTGTGCTTGTGAGGTTTAGTTTCCTATATGTGGAAGGGCTTGTGAAGAAGGTTTCAGTGGCTCTTTAGTACATCTCTACTGGTAAAAGGACAGAAATAATTTTTTAATGTCACCTATAATTAAATGGCAATTTCATACCTAATTGCTATCCATGCCCTTGGAAATCACCACCTCTATTATAGAAATAGCTGCACTTAATTTCAGGAAAGATAATAATAGTTCTTCTCATTGTAGATCTCCAGCTAGGCTTTCATGGACAATTTATCAGCTACTGCTGGACTGTATGATGTATGTAGGGTTAAATGTCACTGTTGTTTCTTACTCTGTTAAGCCTGTCAGTAAATGTACATAAGAGATAAACCTGTGTTAGTGAAGCAGATCTGGCTTTGATAATGGTTTTATATTTTGTTAAATTCTTTTGAGTAGGAGATTAGAATGGGGAGAGGCAAGATAGAAACAGTTTATCATTGCACCTTGTAGTGATTCTGACACAGTATTGTTTCTCATGACATGCCATTTTGATTACAACTGGTAGCACAATGTGAAGCTGCTAATGTAACGTAATGTAAATACATTTATATACATAAGCCTCCTGACAGCTGGATGTCATGGAAAAACTTCATCTAAGTGTCACTGGACACTAGGCTGCACCAAAGCTTCCAATTTAGAGTATTCTTTCTCTTCTGAAGGAGGAGAAATGTATTTAACTTACACTGGATGTAAACCTGTTCATTCTTTTACTTTTTTTTTTCCTTTGGCAAGTAGAAAGTGTGATTTAATACACTTTTGTCCATGTTTCAGGTGTGAATATCTGCTTCGTGTAAAAGGAAGAGAGTTTGTAAGTCAAATTCAGGCCAGATTCCCCCATCTCCTTGAACAGGTAAACTTTTACTGTCCTGTAACTTTGTTTTTCCCCTGTTGAACAGTGCTGAGCTCTTTTTTTGAGTTCTGTCCATTCTTCTGCCTCATTTCTATGTATGTTTCTCCTGGGTTTCTAGTATTATAAATGCTTTTCATGAGCAAATAAAGAAACTAGTGCTGAACCATGGCTAGTCTTGGACTAGTGGAGTTTAACCTCTACAGATTACTTATTGAGAGTCCCTATGAGGCAGTGAGCTTCTTTATGTTAGCAGAGGGAAATTCTGATTATATACTGAATAGTGCAGATCAGTAATTATTATTTCAGAAATCAGTCATGGACAATGTGATGTATTTCTATTTGTAATTCTTATGGCAAGAGTAACCAGACTCCTCTTCACTAAAGTGGTCAGCACCAGCTTTGTGTTGATAATACAGTTGTACACATTTGCAGACTTATGTAACTGCAGTATTTATTTAATTTTTTTTGAAATATTTAATGGGTAGAAAGCTTAGCAGGATTGGTGATGAACAGTATGTTAGAAAGATACATAGAGGGAAGAGCATTACTTCAATACTAACATAGTTTTCTTGTATTCTACAGCTCTTGTCAACCTCTGATCCACCTGTAGATGAAAACCTTGATCCTCCAAGTATGTATATTAAAGCATGTTTTTAAACTTCCTCAGCATTTTGAAGTTATTGCAAACTTTATGATTGCTCAGCAAGTTAGCTTTGAATAGCCAATTCTTGCATTTGTTTCCTAAAAGTTTAATCATTCTGATGTTGTGTTGACAAACTCCAAGGAAACACCTCTAAGAGATCTTGTTTTTCATTTTCCTTATTTTCATGCTAGCACCTCATACTGAAATTTTTGGGTTTGCACACTTGGTTGCTGTGTTTTTTTCATTTCAGTGTTGGGCTTGGTGGAACAGTTGCTAGAGGGTGTCATGACTATGCAGTTACGCAGTTCCATCTCTAGGCACATAACTAGGTAAATGCTCTGAGCTGAGCAGCAGTAGTTAAGGAAGAAGGTAGGACAAGCTGAAGTATCACTATTTCTAGACTGGACTCTAGTTATAGTGGAAAAACCCACTCACCCTCTGGGAGTTAATGCTGTCTTAGTCCCTGCTGGCTGAGGACAATGAGTCAGAATCCCATGTGTCTAGTGTTTACTAAATTAAATGCAAATTACTGATCAAAAGCTGGAATAGAGCAATTGTTTGTGCTATAAACTCTGACTTCCCTCCTCCACCCCTGGCATACCCCCAGGCCATTTTTCAAGGCTGAAATTAGAAATAACTAAGTATAAAAAAAGCTGCTACGCACAATAGAATTCCCTGTGGTTTCTCTGGATTAACCTAGGTTTTAACAAAGGCCTGACATGGATTGATGTTTATCTTGGATTCAATCCATGACTGACTGGCTTCCATTTTTAAAGCTACTTAAACAAAATTCTCCTTAAACAATTGAAACTTTTTACTGCTCAGTGTTCGTGTGTGTAGGTAATGTTGATGTGCCTAACTTCTGGGGTTGTATGGGTATCTTGCTCTTTATATTATAAATGAGGATTTCCCTTTTTGATTAGTTATTCGTTTTGAACCTGGAGAGAGCCATTCAGAAGATGCAATCATGATGAATACGCCTGTGGTTAAAGCTGCCTTGGAGATGGGATTCAGTAGAAGGCTAATAAAGCAAACAGTGCAAAGTAAAATCTTGGCCAGTGGAGAAAACTACAAGACTGTTAATGATCTTGTGTCTGATCTGCTCATGGCTGAAGATGAGAAGATTGAGGAAGAGAAAGAAAAGCAGTTGGAAGAAGTGGCATCAGGTAGGCATCAGGCATAAATAAAAGCAGTTAGTAATATGTATAGTTTTTATATTTGTTTTTATGCATTAAGTGATTTAGTTTAATTGCTTTTAGGATCAGCTTCTCTTAAAGCATTGTCAGAATATCTGTATGGAACTAGCAGTCTGAGAATTGTTTCATTCCCTTTTGGGAGAATGGTTCAGAGAATAGCAGAGGCCAAGGGTTCAGAATCACCTCATCCATCCAAAGCCCTTTTTTTTTTTCATTTGTGTACCTTGATATTGCTGTTAATGAAACACTTGGTACACTCTACTAATTTTTATCCAAATTTGCCTACTCTTTAAGCTGCTTAAATCAGTAAGCCACCATATCTACCTCTTTGAGGGGGCCATAAACTACAAATTCAGATTCTGTAAGATGGCCAAAGATTGCTTTTCTGTCTGGCTTAGCCCATGTATGTCAGCAATTTGTTATTTGATGTGTCTTTAAAATTTCTTGTTTCTTCAATGCCATGTAAGTTTTGAAGCCTGAAGAAGTCTTTCTGATTTTGAGTCTATGAATCATAATGAAACTTCTCAATTATAAATGTAATTAAGGCTGCTTCTTTCCTAGTTGCATTTCTGTCAAAAAACCATAGATGGATTCAGCATTTAATCCTACTGGAAATTTTTTTGTTCTTGTTTGTGGTAGAGTATTAAAATAGTCTCCGGCGTCTGGTTGTGCTGTACTTCTTGTTATCTTGTACATAATTTTGTTAGACACTTCTTAGAAGAGCTTTCATTTATCTGCAGCCTAGCACTGACAGAAGTTAACCTCTGGCATCTTGATGAGTTAGCACTGGTGTTAGTTTTTTCTTTGCAGGAAGTTTCCTTTGTGAGCAGGCTTTGGCTCAGAAGCTGCTTGTATGTGGTTTCCTTAAGTCTGTTCATTACGTGAATACCACTAAAACTTGCTGAGGGATTTATTAATGATGTGTAATAAGCAAACATTGCAAGTGAAGAATGTATTAATTATTGTTAAACAGAAGTGTAACTTAGAGTATTGTATTCCTAATTCTCTTACCTAATTCCTCCCTACGTTGCAGATGATTTGTACTTGATCCAGAAGAATCGAATGGCTTTATTCCAACGTTTAACATGTGTACTCCCAATCCTTGGGAGTTTACTATCAGCTAAAGTGATAACAGAACTTGAGCATGATGTTATTAAGCAGAAGACTCAGATACCATTGCAGGCAAGGGAACTGATAGATACAATTTTAGTGAAAGGAAATGAAGCAGCCAGCATCTTCAGGAACTGTCTACGAGATTGTGACCCTGTGCTCTACAAAGATTTATTTGGTATGTCTATCTGGTTTCCTTTTGTTTTTGAAGAATATCCTTTTATAGAAGTTTACCAGTGCTCTCAGAGCAGTCTAAAGAAAAAGAAACAAACAGATGCTGTTTGAACATAGATTAGTTAAATGATAAGGATTCTTTTTCTTTTATTCTAGTGGAGAAAACCATCAAGTATGTTCCCACAGAGGATGTTTCAGGTACCTTTAATTCTACCTTCTTATCTTAGAGACAATTGTACAACAAGCAGCTAACACAAAAAAAATACTTTGGTTAAGAAATAGGTTTGGTGCTTTACCATCTTTGATTCTGCTTTAGTAATATAGACTGAAAAAGTTAACCAAAAGTTAAGTGCATGTGCATACTTGCAAGTAGGTCAATCAACTCTAAGCTGTACCCTGTGCCTTGCTCATGCTTTTGCATATCACAGGATGTAGAGCTTTCTGGAGCTCAACAATTCAAGTAGCACATGCTGGACTTGATCCTGATACAAGCATTCAGGCATTTGGTAAAGACTGGAGAATGAATAGCATTAGCATTTCAGAACAGCTATCATCACTGCTTTTCCAGAGTGGATTCTAGATGTCCTGAGATCCAGCTTGACCAACAGCTGTGTAGATAAAAACTTGACAGACATGAGATTGAGTTTGCTCTGGTCCTGCAGTTTAATCTGTTAATAAACTGCAGAAAAGTACACAAGCCTGGATATAGCTCACTCCCACCAGTCAGGCTGTGTTTTTGATATCCAACCAAAAAAAGTACAGCATTTCCTAAAATGTAAATAGTGGTTGGCCTCCAACCGTGACCTGACTGTCATCTCACAGAAATGGAAAGTACAGACTAGTTCCTTGCATGCCACTTTCTGAGCTCTGAAAAATGTTCACTGCCATCTATATTTAGTCATTAGAGGTAGGGAAGTAAAAGGTGAAAAGTGGCATGGCTACACTTTAAATAAATACATTTTGATATATTCACATGTATTCAGGCTGACAAAAAATTACCTATTTTTTCCAGGTTTACCTATGGAAGAACAATTAAGAAGATTGCAAGAGGAAAGAACATGTAAAGTTTGCATGGACAAGGAAGTTTCTATTGTTTTTATTCCATGTGGTCACTTAGTGGTGTGCAAAGAATGTGCCCCATCTCTTAGGAAATGCCCTATTTGCAGGGGGACAATAAAGGGTACAGTCCGGACATTTCTTTCATAAAGAGGGAAATTTGCAAAATGTCTTTGTTCCTGCCATCCTCCAACTGCTGAAGCTTAAGACAGCAGTTTCTTAAGAATGGAAAATTGTGGTACAGAAGAGGATTAATCAACTACCTAATGAAGTTTTGTGATAGTAAAGTATATCCTCATTATGATGTGTCTATGATTATGTATAGAAGGCCTTCACTGCCAAAGATTCTCTGTTCATAAAACTAACTCAATATTAGGGTGAGGTTTTTGTGGCGTTCCTTTCTGAGTAGGGAGTTTCACTAGTGTCACTTTTATTCAAAGAAGTTTTTGGTTAAGTTCCTAAAATGGAGCTTGGCATAACTTCTCATGTGGACTAGTTTCCTCTATGTGGATGTGAGGAAATATACTAAAATTGCTGTTATTAATAGTTAATGTTAATTAACTTCAGCGACTTCTGTTTTGGCTTTCTTCTTGACTTAAGGAGAGAAGAGGCTAACTGTTGCAGGAACAGCAGGACTTTTAAAGTTTTTTCATGTCTTGATACTTGTGTAACATATATTACTAATAGTTTATATGAAGACTGAAATAAAATATTTCTACTTCTCAAAGTTGAGCTTGTTTACTCTGTCGCCATTGTTGACTTTTCTCTGTAGACTGCAGTGATTAGAATGCTGTCTTTTCCTGACAAAAAATTTGGGGTTGTTTGCCTGAAAAAGTACAATAAAATTTAATTCCGTTTGTCTTTATTTCATTTTTGAACAGGTAAATGAGCTTCTTTGCTGTTTGGTGATTTCCTCTTTATTTAAAAACAAACAGTAGCCCGCCCTCTCCAAACCCCAATAGCATCTGATACTTCCTTCCAGTTTGATCTTTCAAATGACAGAAATTCTGGTCTTCGTGACCCTAAAGATGAGATAAAGAGTATCTATACAGTCTATGCTAGGGATTAAATGTAAAAGCTACTTTTCTGTGTTTGGAACTTTGCAGGGATTGTGCAGTTAAATAATAGGATAGGCACCTCTGAAGTCTTGGGTTTTGTTTTGTAAGCTGTTATTTTGGGAGCTCCTATTCACTTACTGGTTGACTCATTACCCTTTTCAGTTTTGTATCCCCAGACTTGCATGGTGGATACCTACAAAGAGAGGTGCTCATAGGTAATTTGCAAGGATCTCATGTCATGTCATGGAGGAATACTGCCAGGTTATAATGGCATCAGGTCCTGCAGGAGTCAGTTTGTCTGGCTCTCATTTGAAGTCAGTTATCTTCAGCCCACAGTTGCCCACACTTAGAGCCTGAGTGTGGATAATAACATAGTCTTCAGTCCAGACTTGGATTCTTTACCTGTAGGTTGGCTTGCTGTAATTCTTTCAAATGCAGACTTTTGTCCAATTTTATTACATGTACATATCTTCCCTTTGTTTTTGTTACTAAAAAGGCCAATGTTTCAAACCTAGCATGTAGTTTTAAATAGCTTTAATTAATGCACTTTTCAGGTTTTGAAATGCCTCTGAAAGCTCTTTTGTCTTGTGTAGCAACTTAAAAAGTCGTCAGGGGTTGTGAAAGCTTCTTAAGAAAGCTCAGGACTTGAAATTTCATTAACTTGTTCCAGGCGAGAAATTAGTAATATTAGAACCAAGTGTACTTTCTACAGATGAAGATGAACCTGCATGGGGAGCTGGGGAGGTCAGGCTCACCTGAAGAGTGTGGAATTGCTAGCAGGTATGCCTTGTTTCTGAGCAGGGAAGAGGATAGGAAAAAACATACTAGCAGGCAGACTTTTTAAACAATGCAATTAACTACATCAAAATCAGAGGAGATTTAAAAAGTGGGGAGATTTAAAAGAGGGCTTTAAAAAGTGTTCAGTGTCATTTGTGATGCCTGTGTGTACCTCCCTCAGGACCTGCAACATACCAGTCAGGCCATCACTGAATATTTTGAATATCCCTTCAAACAGCACTGGCTCTCTGCACTTGGTTTTCACTTGAACTGCTTTGAGAAGTGGAAGAACTTGATCTAGAAACTGGTGGGTAAAACTGTGACCTAGTTTTGGCAGGAAGGCTGATGTAGGTTATGACTGCTACACCCTGCTATAATGACTGGGTGCCCTGATTGATAATGCTGTGCATGTGAGCACTTATGTTCTCCTTAGGACTGTTCCAAGAAAGCTGTAGTCAGGCTTGTCTATAGCACATTGCAAACAACCCTGGCAAAGGGTTAAACCATGGGTAACAGTCTAGTGTTTCATAGGGAGAGGGTCAAGTGACTTCTGTCACTTGTGAACCAGCTGACCGTGCTCAGACTTCATTCTGCATCCACTTCCTTTGAATTTTCCAGAGCTCTGACTGGGTTGAACAATAAATAGGCCCCTACCCCCAGCATCCTGTGCAGCTCTGCTGGCTGAACAGCTCAAGTTCTTGGACATCAGTGTTTCAGCCCCACAACTTGTCATGAGCTCACGGCGAGTGTTTGCAAGGCTTTGAGGGTGTGGAGGATGCAAACTTCAGTATCATTGGAGTTTAGTGGTCAGACTTGTTGTGGGATGCAGATAGAAGGCAGTATTCCCAGCTGTTTTGCATTCCCAGCTGCTGCAAAAGCGCCTTTTCTTTGCTGAAGTTTACCTAATCTGCAATGGATCTAGCCTGAAGCAGTTGTGGTTTCTGATACTGGTGTGAGATATTGCAAGATACAGAAGCTCTCCAAGTGGCTGCATGTTTTGTGAAGCCAGTGCCATGCAGCTTTATTCTAATTAGCAGTGTCCTGATTTTTTTTTTTTTTTTGAGTAATTTTTTTCACTGAATGCACATCTCTCTTCTGTTTGCTTTTAAGCATGAACCAGGAAGCCTAGTGTTCTTCAAATTGAAGGCATCATGCAGTTCTAGTGCCCACAAGTGATCAGACTGCCACCAGTCATAACAGAGCACTGCTCTTACATGCTAAAATGAATTGCTATGCAGGAAACACCTAGGAACCCCATTAGCATGATATAAAAGAAAAAATCTTTATATTGCTACTTTTTGTGCCTGTTAGTGGTAGTGTAGTATCTCCATAGTATTATACTTTCAGAACTTGATTTTTTGCTATGTTCCTCACAAGATACCAGAAGAAAGGCACATGAAAATTATAAATAGTGCATTCATCTGCCTTGAATTCTGCCTTGCGGCAGTTGTAATCTAGTGAGGCTGAGATGTGCAGTGTTGCGGTTAGTGCTGCAGAGGGACTGAACTTGAAATTCAGTTCTCCGCATATCCCACCTCAGGTATGTGAATTCAGGCAGAAGATCTATTCTGGACAGGGAAGGCACTCTCTGTTCTGCAGAGCGACTTCAAGTGTAACTGTTGTCAGTCTTGCTCTAGAGGTTACTGTTGCACAGCCAACTTCCTGAGACAACTAAATCCCCAGTCCTGTATTTCTGTTTCTAATGGAACATGTGATCACAGTGTTTACTGATGCTCCAGCCCAGCTTCATTGCTGGGACCCATCAAGCACGAGAGTCTGGGGTATTGCATATATCCTGTGTTTGGAGTACACCAGTATTCCCAGCTGGAGCACAAATGTTTTCTGAAAATACAGCAGCTGTGAGGACCACCAGCTGGGACTCCTTCAGTGCTGTCTAGAAAATGTGTTTACTTTCTCCACAGGTCCATCCTCATTCCCTCTGTTTCCGTATCACAGCTAAATTCTTAACCTCTTGAGTTCTCTAGGCAATTTCCAGCCTCTCATGCCCTTCCACTTCACTTTTGGTACTACTGTCACATTATTTACATATTTTTCAACAAAGCATGTTAAGAATGCTATGTAACTCTTCAGGGCAAAAATAGAGTGGCACGAGTATGTAAGAGCTCTGAATAAAGAAGAAAGGTATGAAATATTTACAGAAGGATAATGTCCAAGTTACTGAATATTATCACAGCAGCATGATCTTGCTTTAACAGTATGGGGTGGGGTTTTTTTGGTTTGTTTTTTGTTTGCTTTTTTAAATAAAAACACAGGTATAACACTGCAGCATTTCCAAAGTGCTTTGAAGCCCTTGATACAGAGCCCCATCAAACCAATTAAGCTGGAAGTTTGGTAGCGGAATACAGGCTAAAGGAGAGCTGCGTAAAAAGGAAAGACCTGTGGGATGAAGGCAGAATACTGCAGCCCTGAAATGCGACTGTAAGGTTGATCTTGATGTGTTTGAAGGGCAAAAGTAACATTTATAAAAGCTAACCTAGGCTGGCCATGTTCTGTGATCAGTGACTGACTCTCCCAGCCTGTAGTATTAGATAAAAACACTTTAACATGAAGCACAAATTCATGAATATGAAGGGTAAAATGTTTGCATAGGGGTTGTGTTAAAGAGCTATAATAATGAATCGAATGCTGGTGATGGGTTTAAAACATGACCCTGCAAATGCAGTTCCTTGATGTGTCACCAGAGGGGCTCCTAAGGCAGACAGAATTAGCAACTGCATTGCTCAGCCACCAGCACTGTAATTAACACACACATCCCCTGTGAGGGGATGGGCTACAAACACTTGAGTCATCTTAACAAGTATTAGTAAACTCAGTTAAGGAAGGGCTGAATGACCATAGCATCAGCTTCTTTTATATATTAGTAACAAATCTGGGCTTTCACTTTCTGTTGGAAAGCAAAGATAAGGTAAAATTTATCAACTGAACTGCCCTTTGTCTAGATTCCAAACACCTGGAAGGAGGTCTGGTTTTATGTTTGCACTGACACTTCTGAAGTCTTAAGCACATACTTGTGCTTTACTGTAGTAATGAGATCACAGAATTAATTAGAAATTATTGAACTAGGCAAAAATGAACTAGGTCTGGTATCCTAGCATTTAAAAATATATACAGTGAATGTTTCTTATCAAATGGCTATGACTGTGGAAAGGACTGAGGGAATTACAAAACTGGCTAACAAATTAAAAAATCAACTGAAATTAATGTCGTAACTCCAAAGATTTAATTTTATTTGTCTGTACAGCAGAGGTGAGACAATCCCAGTAACTGAGTTGCACTTTACTAGCTTAATTTTTACAAAGTAAGGAATTACAGTTCTATGAAAGAATTGTTTCCATAATTCTTCAAGTCAAATCCAGTAAAATTCCACCAAATAATACAATTAAGAAAAAATACAAAAGTTACTCCAAATCACTCTCTCTCCCCCTGACCCTCAAACACTGTAAAAAATTTAAACAGCCCTGTTACCTCCTTTTCAGGTGAGTAGCTATAAAATGACTCATTAGCCATGGTTTGCTGGAGTTGGCTCTGCCTTGGAAACAGTTTTACTATTCCGTATGAAAAAGAAAAAAAAAAATCAAACGGGCACTTTAACATTGCATGTCAGAATAAACAACTGCTTAAGAAAATAATCTGTTCCAGAGTAGTTACATTTTCCCTGAAGAGTTCTGCAGCCCCCAACTGAGCTGTGTGCAGTTCCCACTGTGACTGTCCTCACTTGTCACCGTCTCCCTTGTGCCCAGCAGGAGGGACTGGTGCCAGCAGTAACCAGGACAGTCAAACCCCACCACACCCTCTTCCATGGGGACAGGTCTACAAGTGAAGCCTGAGCAAGACTGAACAATCATTCAGTGACTTAAAGAGATGCAGTCCTGTGTTTCCTGGTATTTGCTCTAGTTTTCCTTACAGCAGTGTAAGTCAGCAGATTTACCTGAGTGGACCTGCAGAAGTGACATGGGAACAGCACCAACCATCCTGCACAGGACCCCCAGAGCATTTGAGCCTTCAGCTAAATGTGCGTTCAGAGATGCCCCAGTGCCATCAGCTGGGCCTTTGACCACACAAAAAGCTCTGTACACCTGTGCAGCAGGATCAAGTTCTGAAAGCAGCTGTAAAAATGCACTTTATAGTCTGCTAAAATGCTGTCTTATAGGTTTTCCCTTCTCTATATAACTTTGAACAATTATCAAATGCTGCTGAAACACTGCAGACAGCTTTGTAATGATAAAAATCAAGAGCCAAGTGATTGCTACCTTCAGTTTAAAAGCCAGTTTTAGAATATATTTATAATGACAAAATTACTTTTTTTCATTTTTATTAAATCTTCAATTGCACAAGCTTCATTAGGACAGTCAAGAAAAAAAGAAGCTTTTAGAGAAAAGGGTTATGGTTGGGTATTTCCATTCTGTCCATGTTTCCTGCAGCTACTCTCCTTATACAGCCTATTAAGGAAAGCATCTGCAGCTCACTGGCAAGCTAATGACTGACATTTAGAGTACTCATTATCACCTTCTATACAGTTATCTAACCACACCTCCTTTGAAGCCTATTAAAAATTAACTGAGTTATTCAAAACCCAAAATTTCTAAACTAAGGTCACATGAAACTTCAAAATAAATACAATTTAATACGAAATTTTAGAAAAAACTCCCTGAACTTAGAATTTCATAGATGCAATTGCCTGTGCTAGTAACTAGCTATTTCAGAGAGCTGTGTGTGTACCTTAAAATGACTCAGTATGTGGTTTTCTCTAAATCTGGTTACAAAAACTGGAAAAAGAAAATACTGTCTACAAAGTGCTGAGCTCCTCTTGCAAGAGCCAACGTAAAAAATCAGGATGTTTAAAAAGCTTCTGCACATTTTGCATAACACCCAAGACAGGTTTAGAGACTGTGATCATCTTTATGAAAGAAACTCTTTCAGAAGTTAAACAGCTGTGACAGGGTGGGTTTCCAACACTGTCTTCTCTGAAGTCTTCTTTAAATGATAGCATCGTGTTCATCACTGTAACAGAAACACAGTAATTAATGTTCTGCACTACAAGCAACAGTCAACATGAGAAAGAGCCACCCAGCTGCTGCTGAGAAGGTTATTTTGTGAGCAGAGGATACCTTGCTAGGAAGGAGTAAGGACACATTGATCTGGGAGTTACAGTCCTCTCTGAGCCAAGCCTGAAGTTAGGTGAACAGTTTTATTAACACTCCTCCAGCTTCCCTAACAACTTGTCTTTCACACATCATTCACGTATTCTTACATCAGCTGTTGCTCAGGCCTGTTTATCCTCTATCTCACCAGGAGTAACATTAATTAATCAAAGCCACTGTACAAGCTCAGCAGCAGGTTCTCTTCATTTTGAAGACTGTTGATGTAAATTTTACAATACCTATTCACAAACACCACTTTGGGTAAAGGTGCAGCAGGGACTGGCTTCATTCCATGACCAGTAATGAAGAGTCAAGATGGAGAGAAAAAAAGGCCTGAACACCAGTATCCAAACAGGTCTTATGACCTCACCTCACTTGAAACTTCTTGGCTGAGATGGATGACACTGAAGAGGAAAACAAAAGCAACCTAGTTCTTAAACTAAATGTGGGCAAGTCCTGAAGTCTGGAGCAGAATTGAGCATCAATAGCAAGTGTGATGGTACAATTTTGATTAGAATTCACTACAAATTAATGGCAAGGGGGAAGAAAAATGAAGAATGAATAGACAAAAAGAGTCTAAGAGAAAGAAATCCTGCAAACTGCAGAAAGTTTCAATGAAATGTTAACTATTCATGGACTAGCTAAATGACAAGGATCCTTTTAAAAAAAAATAAAATTATTTTATCTAATAGATCAGAGAAAAAAACTCAGGGGAGAGAGGCATAATACTAATGGCGAATGGCAGAAGTGGTGAATGACAAAACATCAGAGTTAAATCTCTTATTCATATTAATATAACATACATTAAACAGATGTTTCGGCGCTCATTCTTCCCATTTGGTTTTCCTTTTCCCCCCAAGAAAGTAATAAATGGCCAAGGGACAATCCCTTGGGAACTTACATGGTTCTGTACTGAATGCCTCTTCTAGAGTGGTAAGTTTTGCATCCAATGTAGAGAATGACCAGGACTCCAAGAGTCAGCACAATGCCACCTACAAAACTGCCCACATCAAATCTGGAGGTTTTGACTATGACAGCCTCTGATTTTGATGTGGCTGAAAAGAAGAAAACAAAATGCACAATTTACAGAGCTTGCAAAACTGTGTTTTGGGGGACTACTCCACATCCTGCCCTCACCACTGATTTACCACCTAAAGACCCAATTAGACAAATTTAACCAAGATCAACTGACAAGATACAAGCCAAGCACATTGAAATCTAGGGCTCTGGTTTTAAGTGTCCATTCTGGTGACATAGGTCCACCTGCTTGTTGTCTCTCAAAGACTGACTGCTCCTTCTCTCCATCTCCCTTTTTCCCCCTACCTTTTATATCTCCCCTGCCCCCCTCCTTCTACACATGGAGCTCCTGCCCTTCTTAGGCCAGTTCTAGTGTTTTTCATACCCTCCATAAGCCAATTTAACTCACTAAGCTGGCCTGAAATAAACCCAGGCATAAAAGGAAGTTGCTTTTAGTCAGATGAACATACTGAGTCATCCTGCAAGAGGGGACCAACAGCCACCAAGTCTGTCAGTGTAGTTCTGTGGGAGCAGAACACCTGGTAGCAATGAGCTGTTGGGATTGCTTTACCTCATCTCATGGAATTGTACCCTCACAGTCCCAAGTGAGATCAGCTCTGCAGCTTGACACAAACACTGACACAGGCAACATGATCTCAGATAATCCATAGCTGTTTTGCTGCTAGAACTGGTTACATCTGCTACAAACTCCCACCTAAACACCCAGTCTGTGCCCAATTCTATTTGTACTTGCTACATACAGAGTGTTTCTTCTGGTGACACCTTCACCTACCCAATGATGCTTCACTGATATGTAAGCATTCCTGATGTGTTTAAAAGTGCAAGCATGAAGTGATGGGAACACAGCCAAGTGCAAGGAAATACTGAATTCTGCACTCACTGCTTTTGTATTACCAGGTACAGTTAAACTGTATTTGACAACTTTTACATAAAGGGTGACTCGTGCACAGTCATGCTCTATTCTCTGTTAGGGTAACATTCATTACACTGCTAACAGAGCTCAGTCTTTTTACCAAGCCTGTAGACATATTTTGAGATACAGGTCAGCTGTGAAAAAGGAAGCATTAGAGATGAGTTCAAATAAACTGCAGAAAGGAGAGCTGAACACAGAAGTTGTATTCAAAATATTAAAATCAAGGGTTTCTCCCTCACATTGCTGATCTCCTTGCTGGTGGCTGCACTTTTTTTTCTTTTCCTTAAATCTGTCAGGTCTCTCAGGTTAAAGTGAGTCCTAAGTAAGCGGAGTGCTCAGAGCAACATTACTGTATCCAGTTTAGTGATGAACTCACACTTGAGTCTTATTTTTCAGCATGCAAATACTTTCTTCTCTTTTTTACACTCCTGTAAAACTAACTGTTCTGCAACCAATGTGAACATGCATCCAAGCCTTTATGAGCTTTCTGAACTGCAAACTCACCTGTTACAGAAGTGGAAGAAGTCTTAGAAGTGGTCACCCCTGTAATATTGCCTTGTGGCGATGTGACTGGTGCAGCTGTAGTGGGTATTGCTGTCTGGCTGGCTTTGGTGGGCTGAGTTGTCATGATCACAGCTGTGGTGGTGGTAGTGTTGTGCTGACTGCTACTGGTCAGATGAATAGTACTGGTGGACACACCTGGGAAATTTTTGTGATACCACACATAAAAATTCATGAAAATAAACAACTGTACCTGCATTGAGTAAGAACACATTTATCATGCCCAAATAAAACAACAGAGTAACAACAAAAATGCCACTGGCATGCCATACAGACTTTCCTCTGGGAAGACCTAGGCTCTGATTTCTGGGCCTCAAGGTCAAGAATTCTTCAAAGGAAAGGCTATAAAGAAAACCTGGATAATATACGATGACTTCTAGGTGAGTCAGTTTTTGTTTTTTTTTCGTAACAACCCAATTGCACAGTATCATACCTAACTTAAAATACGTTAAAATGCAGTAAAATTCTGGATCAGGAGTTACTGTCTATTTGAAGTGTCTACTTTTTCAGACAACAAAGCTTTTCTGATAAGAACAGGGTTTGCATGAAAACACCATCCCCCCAACTTTAGTAATGATTTGATCTTTCATTTGTTTTTGAACAAAACACCAGCATTACTAGGGTTCCATGTACATTAAAAATTTACCACAGAAAATTCTGCATTTATGTGGTAAGGATAAAACATGATTAAATTTCAACTACAGTAAATGTATGCTTAAGTAATTTGTTTAGTCTTGCCAAGGTTAAAACAAAGGCTGGAATGCTTTTTCTTAAGTTTCATTGACGTAGTGTCTTTTACTTTACTTTTACCTAACACTTCCCCTTCCCTCCTCAGAAAACATTAATGAACTGTTTAGAATAAAAATACCATGATACAAAACTCAATAATATAAATTGCTTTTTATAGCAAAATCCTTAGAACTTTCATGGAAGGCAGCCAGCTAAAAATGACTGTAAAGCAATAATTTATTTTTCCAAGAAGGAACTAACAAGAAACATGAGTCTGTTATGCAACTAACATTTCTCTAAGCAGACAATAGGATGCAAATAGCTTTTATGTATGAAAGAATTCTAGAAAGAGCTTCTTTGCAGCTGTCAACTTCTGTATTATTTCTATGGCTTCACACAAACTGGGCTCATTTGAGACACCTCAAAAGCTTTCCAATATGGAATTTCAAATATCTAATTATATCCATGTTTTCTTGAAATTGTCTAAAATTAGAGTAATTGAAGGATAGTTTCATCTCAATTACAGAGTAACCTTGATACCAAATTTCTGCCTTTTTTTATACTGCACTTAAAATGCTGTTGTAGAATAAAATTTGTGTTGTGTAAAACATGAGGAACTACATACAAAACTGTCTTTGCTAAGATTTAACTATCACAGTTTCCAGTACTGATATAAGCATCAAAAACTTCAAGAAACTCATCAATATAGCAATGTAAACATGCAGAAAGGAACTAGTCTACACAACACTTCTGAGACATTTAGCATTAGAACTACTGAAATACCAAAATACAGACTCCTTTGTAAATGCTATTTGTTTTCCTGCTCTTTAATGTTATACCTGTATTGTGCCATAGAACCAGAAAATCCTTTGAAATGAGCATCCATTGAGGTGGAACAATTAGAACAGTATATTCATTTGCTTACCTTGTTACAATTACGAAAATTCAGTTCCTCTATGAAGCATGCGTAAAACACATCAGATAAAATTCAGGGCACATTTTAATACTGACAGGTAAAACTCCTCAAAGATACAATGATCCATAGATACCAAATGGTTCCTCATTGTAGGAAGCAAGCAAGGAAATGTCTACATATAACCCATCTATAGTTACATGACATGAAACCACACCTGGTAAGTACATTCCCAACATAAGTGATACCAAAGAAGGACAAATCTCTATACAAGTGTCAAGCAGTTTTCTGTGGGTTGTTTTTGAGCCGAGATTTCAGAGTGCCAAAGGGCCTTCTGTTTCTGAGCAATACAATGGCTAACTGTTAGATGCATAACATTATAAAATGATGTTACACAAAGCTGGTACTTTCTCTATGGGTATTAAATTACCCTACAGAAAACCTGAGTCATGATGAAAAAAATCCAAACATCTATGAGGAATTTCAGTACATTTGCACATTACTTTTCCCTCTCTCTCTTCTAGTAGCAATCATTTTTTTACTTAATCAAGATCATAGCCCTTGGTGATGTAACTTTAACAGTAAAATCTGTGTAATCTCTAGACCATGGTGTATTTAACATCAGTCTTTTCAAAACATCATTAGGAGGCTATCTGAGGCAGCTGGAGAATTTGGGAAGCTGACATGAATCAGGCACTAATCTGTTCTTCTCCATCTTTGGAAAATCTTACCCGTTATTATTTTACAAACAGAGTGAAGATGAAAGAATATTTGTTAGCAACATCTGTCCTTTTATCTTCTATTTCCCTAATTACTTTCCCCCCAGAAGACCAGCTGGGCTTCATCGAACACTACACTAAACAAACCCTGACTGTCTGTGTTAATTTTTATTATTTAAAAAGGATGCATGCCAGTAATATAGTTCAGGTTTATGATGCTTTGTTTTTAAAAGAGACAAGCAAGCATTTTACATAGTCTGCTACCTCTGTTTAAGCATTAAACCGCTATGCTACAATCATCAATTAAAAAAAATAAAAAATATATATAGCACATAGATAAGAATCTTTAGCAGCACGTGCTATTACTCAGTGTTCTAACTCAACAAGAATGAACACAAAACTCAAATTGTGTAAGCACTGTGCTAACATGTGAGATTATTATGGAATGCCCTTTCTAAAATAACTACTTTCTCTTGCATGGAAAATGACTGAATGAAACACTTCTGCTTCCTTCACAAAGAGCTCCCTTCCTCTCCCTCAAAAAAATGGGAGAGACTTTAAGTGAAATTAAGTAAGTACATATACCCACTAGGTCTTTAATATGATGAGGTTGAGACAGATAATCAAAATACGTGAACACTGTATTAAAATCTATGACGCTTCTAATGGAAAAAAAAAAAAAAAGATTAAAGGATGGGAATCAGCAAACCTTGCAAAGCAAGGCACAGCTATCTGTTAGGTTTATCCTATGCCTAACAGTAAAGGGCTCAGGCCTCTTTTTACTGTTATTATCCAAAACTAGTAAAATTCATTTCTCTCCAAGAAACCTGCAAGGGCTGGAGCAGAAGTCAGAAGGAGCACAGGATGGGTGAAACACTGAGGTTTCACACACTTAAGGGATGGCCATAAGGCAACAAGGAGATTACAGAAATCTTGACTTTCCAAGTTAGACATGCTTGAACTGCTACACTGCAGGCAATGGAACGAGACAGTGCACCACTTGCTTGCTATCAGAAGGAAGGTCTTCACAAAGGTGGGGATATTTTTTCTTCCAGTGAGTATTTTATACTTAAATGAAAAAAAACAAGCAACTTCTCAGTGCAGTAGCTCAGAGCTTATCTGGAAATTACAGAGACAGAATATAAGAGTTGTACTGAAAGTAAAATTACATAGCTGGGACTTTATGATCAGCCTAAAACTCCACAAATACACAAAGCATCTTAAGTAGACACAACATTTCTGCCCTGCTTTCACATGGCTCTTAGCACAAAGGGGCCCCAGTTTCTAGAACTAGCTTCTCTCAGATACAATATTCTATTTGTGCATCACAGCCTGAACAACTGCATGACCTTAATTCTTACGCAGTCCTGACTAATGCAGTGAAATCTACCTGTGCAAGCTCCTCCAGAAGATTAATGTTTTAACTTCCTAATTTAACTTATTTACAGTTGTTTTGACAGGTTCTGAAGGAAGTATGGTACTGCTAGAACAATGAAAATACATCCATGACAAATTGTTCCACTTAGTTGATACTGGTTTAAATGGCACTATTTTGTGCTATGAGCTCTCTAAGGATTATTTTCTACGTATTAGGTGCCATGAGGTTGTAGTGAGGTGAGGGTTGGTCTCTTCTGCCATGTGTCAAATGAAAGGACAAGAGGAAATGGCCTCAAGTTGTGCCAGGAGATAGTAGAAAAAAAAAAACCCACTGAAAGAGGGGTTAGGCATTGGAATAAGT